TGGAGAAACGGGTCAGTCTGGGACCGGAAGAGTACGAGCTTGCGAGAACTGTGACTTGCACCAAGACGATATTGGAAGTTTGGAAGGGCTTGGTAAGGCATGCCGACGATCACGTTCTACAGGCAAAAAGGAGAAGTGATCCAAAGAAGTCGGCGCACTGGACGCTGTCGGTGTCAGAGCGTCGCACAGGACCAGTGTCCAAAATCAGCCTGGTGAGTCGCCGAGGTGCCGTCCGCAACGCTTTATCCCACACTTGCTGAGGTCAGAGTTCGCTAGTGGATCCGAGAGGGACTGACAGACTCGCTGGGATTACAACGCGACCAAACGTTCGAGAAGGTGGAGATGACCGAGAAAGATGTCTTGTTGATTTTGACGACATTGTGGCAACGGGCAGACGATATACCCTGCACCGCATCTGAACGCGTTGCCTTCCACTTTGTGGTTCTGATGATGGCCATTGGAGGCTTTCGTCAGGGGACATTGACGCGCTTTCTGTATAGCCAAGTCAGACTGGATCTGGTGCAGGATCCATCCTGCAAAGCTCCCCACCGACTAGTAGCCACGCCCACTGTGTTGCACAACAAACAGCAACACAAGAAGGTGATGAATAGCCAAGACCACAAGTCAGGCCGCTCTTTTTAGAAATGGCACTTGTAGCCTGCTGACTTGTGATTTTTCCAGACTTTCATTTAGCGTGACATCCATGCCTTGTCTTCTTACCGACCTCTCGAGCTTGATCATCAGCAAGGCTCTCAAGGATAAAGCATTTAGCGGAAAGTATGGCTCGGCTCTCGAGATGCTGTCGGTACCAAATCTGCAAGGACAACATCTTATCCCACTGCCGTGGGACAAATCCATGCTGGAACGCCCCATATTCGAGATATCGCCCCAAAAGTACCATCAAATATGGCAGCGCACTCTGCTCGTGCTAGGCTGCCGAAGAATGGATCGCCCCTACTCCTTGCGCGTAGGCGCGGCTGGACGAGTGGATGGTAAGACATGCAACGCCCTACAATGACCACCAAGAAGGTCAAGCTGAACACATTCAGGATCCTTGACGTCCGCAGTACGTAGTCACATCATCTCGAATACGGAGGCTGTGTTCCGAAAGAGCTATCAGCCAGTTCATACCAAAGAGAACCTGGCTGCTATCGCCTTTTCTACTGTTGCGGGAGATGACGAGCCTCTTTTCGAATTTCTTCGACAGTCCCTACTTACACGTGATGATAACGCGCCTATAGACCCGCATCCAGAGGATTACGCAAAGTGGAATCAGCGGAGCGATATACAAGAGCTCGACAAGCAACTTGCCGAGGTCCCACGTACAACGGCAGCTGACAAAGAGAACGCACAGAGGATTGCATCTCGGCGTGGCCATATTGTGGCGACACTGTCGAAACTCCAAGTTATGCAACGTCGTGAGGAATACTTTCTTGAGGCCGACAGGTTAAGAGGCCAGGGACGTTCAACAGAGCACCTCGTCAGCAGAACGATGCGTCCCAAAGCCGGACGCTATACTGTCAGTTCAGCAGCCGCGACGATTATCAGCCGCTACATGGTACGATGTTCGGGAATTGACATGCTGGCCACGACGAAATACATTGACCTCCTCGTCGCTTTCCTGTCTAACAGATTCTCGGAGGTCGAGCACCTCGAAAGCACTGCGACGACAATACCCACGAGTCATGGGGGCATCGATAAAGAGGCAGACAAGCAGCTTTTCTTGCAGCCGCCGACGATTGAGCCGAAATTTCCAGTGCAGAAAGGACACATAGGAGTCAACATAGCTACTGAATATCGGTGTCTGTTCGGTTGTAAACCACTGAGCAGCAGATTTGCTCTGAACAGACACGTGGCAAGCATTCATAGAGACACATTTTCAACACCGTTCCACTGTCCCGAATGCTTGTCGCAAGATAAGAAAGAGATCATCATCAATGGGCTGTCCGAATGGATCATCCATGCTACGAGATACCACGGGAAACGCAGCGCACCATATTGCCCTCAGAATTCGTCGCTGGCTAGCTCAGGGCGATCTCGCCGCATCAGATCATCCCAAAAGGCGGAATGCACGCTTTGTCAGGGACAGTTCGCTGCCGGCAATGGGTATTCAAGGCATATGAACTCGGCGCACCTGCATCAAGGCCTCTTCGATGAGCCTTTTCCCTGCCCGGAATGCAAAACCGCGGGGGTAGAAGCTTGGATCGAAGGGATTGAGTGCTGGCGCGAGCACACTTGGGAAGTGCATGGTTACAAGGGCCAGACAGGGCACAGGAAGTCTGATGAAGAATTTGAGGCAGCTGGGCTGGGCGGGGTGGACAGGGGGAAGAAGAGGATACAGGTGTAGTCCCAATGCTGCTATTGTACAAGATACCATCCGTGGTGCCTTTTTGCCATATTTGAAATTGAACCACATGCGGGCGCTTACAAGCCGAACACGAAGTGGGGTCCCGCGCTTGACTCCCCTTACGCAAAATGACTTCCAGCAACAAGCAATGAGGTCCGCCCTCTGTATGTATGTGTGATATATAATACAAAGTGGGATGTCTGCGAAAGAAGTAACAGTTTTCGCACGACGAATAAACCGCCCTATGAAGTTGCGGTCGCGTTCGCTTTGACAACATGTCCGAACGCCAGCAGATCACGCCGCTGAAGCCGTACGACCTAGAGGAGATCCGCAAAAGTCGGAAGCGTGCAGCCACCAAGTTTTCCAAGCGCCGCAAGACGTTCTTGCGCAGGGCGCATGATCTGTCGCAAGATTGTCAGGCCAAGGTGTACACCTTCATCGAATACAATCGCCGCACATGGGTCTTTACGAGCGAGCCGGATCAAGCGTCATTTCCGCCTACAAAGGATGAGATTGTGAGCCGAGATGCTTCCGAAACAGGCCATACTTGACTGACTGCTCATAGCTTCGAATCTACCCGCTTCCGGAGATATTCATACCTAGCATGTTCTCCACCTTACCTCAGGTTCACAACGGCAAGCATGACGTGGTAGATCCCGCGCTGTCAGACAGGTTTGATACTCACGCCGCTGATCAATGAACACCAAGCAATCGTGGGGATTGCAGACGAATGCCGCCAATCGTTCGACAGAGGCAGTTTGTATGGCGGGCTGGGCAATCGAGTGAGGACCAGACCGATAAGTCCATCGGATTGCGGAACTGCGGTGTAGGAGGCACGCGACAAGAGGAACAAGAGAACTCGCGCACAGCAAGAAACCCCCCTCGTATCTTCCCTCCTCACTGAGATATGACGTGCAGTCGAGGCCCACTGTCGCCGCTGCCGACAACTATGCGGGGGTCGGATTGACCGGTCTTTCATGGCGGGCGCGGTGCTGGAGGATCTGCCTTACCGCTCGTTCAAGATAGGGCCAGGCTCTCCGTTCTTGTTTGATGCCTGTTACTTCGAGTTTCGAGCTCCAATCAGTGCCACCACAAATGAGCTAGCGTCGGGGCCGCTCTGTATGTCGGCTTCCGATATCCTCCAAAGGCTCGTAATTATACGATGGTTGTTGTTGGAACCTGAGATTGTAGGATGTTTTGTCTGCGTCACAGAGTATATCTCGGGAATAAAGATTTTCAACTTCGGCCACAAGCTCTGTGGCACGTGGATAGCTCTGACACAAATATATGTTTACCGACATTGTGCTTGTTCGCAGTTGAGTCTTCATGAGGCCCTCTGAAACTCCTCGCAGACTGGTTCTGGCATTCAGAGAAGGCTACCTTCAGCGTCAGTGGGAGTACCACACTCGTGCCCCTGAACAGCACTACCCGATGCGCTAGGGGCCTGCCGTCGTTCTCTCTTGCTCGTGAGTCGATGAGAATAGTGACGTGGTGGCCACGACTAGCTGAGGGACAAAGTGAGGGAGCGTGGCTGACTCATCGCAGAAATCTGTCTATAAATACAGAGGTTTTCCCTTCCACTTTACACATTTCATCATCCTCTCAACACAGCTCCTCCTTCCACTCACCCTGTGCAACGACCAGAATACACACCATGAGCCTTTGGAGCACTTTGCACTCTCCAGGCGAGAGGCCTGCAGTCCCACATCCAACAACTACCGCAACAGTTAAACAGGCTGTGCAACCACACATCGGATATGCCAAGGCTGCTTCCGTTCGGTCTTCAGACAACCCCGACCATGACCATCGTTCAGTCGGTCAAGCGGTCTTGTTCGCCGAGGAAGCGGTGCAAACGGCGACTAGTCCAAAAGTCAGCAGCCTGACCCCCGATGTGGCAGCCCCTGCCGCTCTACCATATGGCCTGCTCGAAATCGGCAAGACAGTAGCCACTCTCAGTGACGCATCTCCACAAACTGATCTTTTAGCTCATCACAAACTAAAGAAAGCACGTAAGTGATGCCCCATGAAGCCTCACAACGCAGCGATGAAGAAGGGTCTGTAGTGACAAGTTTTCCCCACCAGCGTTGTCGCGGTCGAAGCCGGGCTCTGCACGATCCCGTCCTACAAAGCGCGCCAGAGAATCATCGATCGAACCACAGCCGCAGAGGAAAAAAGCCCCGAAGGCTGTCAAGCTTGACAGATCCATGGTTTATGACGTGGAAAATCTCACAAACTTTGCTTTCAGAAACGGCACCATGTATTGCAAGGCTGAATGGGCTCCCACAGAAGTCCAGCTTTGTGATGTAGTTGGAGACGAAGCAATGGCGATTTGTGAACGAGAAATCACATCGCGATTCGGGGCTGACGTATGGGCGAAGCAGAAAGCTGCTTGTTTTGACCAGAAACCAGAAATCCAAGATGTAAACGATCGGATCACGTCCTAATTGGGTGAGGTGGATGGGTTTTAATGGTACACTCGTTTTGGATTGTATGTACAGGCTTGTTTGTTTGCGCACACTCTTCCTCTATTCTAGGTTGTCAAAAGATTCTCCGACTCGTCGGTTTCTCACCAGCGCGTTCTCTGCGCGAGCTCTATTCTCGCTTGTCTTTATCATGTCTCTGTACCTTACAGGCGTATCCCCGCAATTTACCATCAGTCGGAAATCCTCGCCTCGGTTCTACCAAAACCCTGCCGGACTACCGAGTATCTACATAGAGTTCGTGTCCAGCATGCTCACTTAGAAGCTAGTAACGCCACCGGGATCCGGGGCAGCGCTCGTTATTCGTAGCGTCAATCTGGAGTCGATGCTAACTAACCAGTCGCGGGGGTAGCACAACACACTCCGGCCGTCCACCAGTCTTGGCTCGTCAAGTTGTAACACTTCCAAAGCAGGGTGGCGCTGCATGAACCGTACCAACGCGAGGACTCCTACATACATGTTGGCAAGAGATACGGAGCGAAGCTCAGGGCAGGGCACGCGATCGAGAGGAATGAGAGTGGGCGGATCGCAGCGGCTGAAGTTGACGTGGAGATTTTGTAAAGCGGGAAACGAAGACAGAAAGACATTGAATGTTGTTGCAGTGGTGTTTGCCATGCTCAATGATCCGATGTCGAGCCTGGTCACCGAACGCAGCGCCGCGTGCAGAGGGCCGATGGACTCAAGCCTCAGTTCGCCCTCAATCTTGAGATCCTGGATACGGGCGTAGTTGGGAAGTATTGTCAAAAAGTCACCGACCAGACGATCGACTGAGCCTCTCCGGCCCGGAAATAGCCAGATCTGTTGGCACAGTCGGGTGAGTTGGGCGTTTTTCTTCGGTTTCCGCGCATGGGAACAGGCATGGGAGATTGTGATCTGCTCGAGCTGTGGCAGAGAACTCAAAATCTGGTTCAGTCGACGGATGTCTCCATGGCGACTTCTAGACCCCTCGACCGCTACGAAGTGACGATAGTGTCGGAAGGCCTGCAAAGCATTTTCCTTCTTCGACGGAGACTGCGACACAAAAGGGTGCGCCTCGTACACCTGGAGCGGGTGAAGCTGCCACTCTTTGTAGTCGCACTTCGGCCACTCGCCGTGATACACCGTGAGAGCTCGTGTGAGCGGAGTTGTTTGTTTGATGTGGTGTGTCAGGCCCGACAGTGCCGAAAGGGTGTTGAGTACGCAGAGGTGACGCGACGCCTCGGACAAGCAGGCATGGTTGAAGTGACTGGAAGTCAGTGCCAAATTGAGAAGGCTTCGTGAGTCTAGATACGAGACGAACTCGTGGATGATCTCATAGGGCATCCTTTCCATGGTAAAGGTGGGTGAACGCAGGCTGGCCCAATGCAGCGAACCCGCAGGCGCACAGTAGCGTAGATATGGCCGTTGTTGTTCTTCTCCTGTTGAGGCTCATCCCGGATAGTCGCAATCCTGAACAAAGCATGGTATGAATCTGTATTCTGAGTTTCTCATGGACTGTAGTGGGAACCTGTCCGAATTTATTGTCGACTACCTAGGCAGGCACAGTGGACGGATGGGGTCATCGCGGTGTGTCGATGGGATGCGTCATTCAGCGGGCGGTGGTGGGTGCACAGTGGCGCACCCCGGGTCAGATCCGACATGAGACTTCCTCGCTGAGCGAACACCATAGCCGCGCGGTTGCGCAGCCGGGCACGAGCTGGCCACAGTAAGGCAGAGACCCAAGTTGCTGCGGAACGTTGGAATAAATCAGATTATTGACCATTGATTCGTGGCTTTCTAATTTGCACTGATCCTATCTCTCCCGACTAACGCATGGTCGACGCCAGGCTGCACAGGCTTGACCGGCCGCCCCCAAGGACAAGAAGTAGTCTCTGGGCGGAACAATGCATTGGGTCCATCTCATAGTGGATTAAAACCAAGCTGCGTTACGATGTCCGCTTGCAATCTATATGGAAGATGACGTTTGCTGTGATTGAGTATTCTGACTGCTGATTGTGCCACGCAAGCCGCATCCGAAGGAGAAGCACGTCTCGCTCCGCTCACCATATACGGAAAATGAGGTCTGAGGACGAGCAGCTAACTGCTTGGAGGATCCATTCAGGGTGAAGATACCCCGAAGCCCATCGACCTTCGCACCCAGTCTTCATACTCGAGAAAGACCTCCCCCACTACGCTGATGACCTCCGCTATCTCCCTGGTTTGCTCCCGAAGCACCTGTCGTTGATAACCTCCCTGCTCGCGCAGGATTTCCAGGCGTCCGTGATTACTGCGCTGCTTGTCGCGCAATGTGTACATCTCTTGCTTCAATTTGTCGTTCTCGTCGCGAAGACCCTTGATTTTTGCATTCAACGCCGCTTCGAAAGAGTCCTGAGGCTTCTGAGAGGAGCGCCGTGGAGGCAACGCCAACGGGCGTGGCCATAACTGAATTTCTCCCTCATCTTCTAATAACTCAGGTAGAACGAATCTCTCCGGAACGGTCATGTCAACACGCATGGTGAGGATGGGAAGGTAAGTCGGCAGAGATCTCAGGATAAAAGAGAGGCAATGTCTCCTTCATGCGTTCCCGGACTAGAACGCTGATCGAGCTGGGCATCGGCAATACCGGCTCGTCGCAATATATCCTATTCCGCACATTCGGAAGCTGCAGTGTTTATATGGGCACTCATGTGCTTGTGACTTGAATCAGCTTGTCGCTTGTGAGTATGCAGGCGAATTTCGGACTACTCGACCGCACAGGCCCATTTTGAATGTCTGAAGGAAAATGAACATGGAGACGAATTTAAATGAGGAAACAGATATTGGAGGCAGAATTGCCTAGACCGCTGTGATCTGGCCGCTGCCGGCCTACATAAAAAGCGACACTCTGCCGTCCATCCATGTTTCTGCGCTATCACGCACCTGATCTAGATTAGAACCTTTCGATATGGAGAAGTCCAACGTGCTCGTGTGGTTCCAAAGCGAGGGTGTCAAGTCGGAATTGATTGCCCACGTAGCCGCGCTTGCTTCTACCGTGACATACAGCGATACGACTGGGCCTGATGCCACCGGAGCTGCATGTGCGGAGGATCTGGATCTTCCCTCGCTAGAAGCCTTCATCACCAAACTTGTGAAACGCCTTAAACTTACACCTTTGGAACTTATGGCATCGCGGGTCTATCTTGGCCTCTTTATCGATAAATTGTCCGAATTCAGGATAAAGAGACGTGGCCGGAGGTGCACAAACCATCTTGTTATCTTGAGTTGTCTGATGGTTGCCAACAAGTGCCAACGGGATCACGCGTTCGATAATCAAGTCTGGACTACCGTAAGTCAAATTTACGAAGGCGATCGGCAGATATTAGGGTTTCAGAAGCACGAAGTAAACATGGGCGAAAAAAACCTGCTGGCCCTTCTGGATTGGAAGGTCGACATTGAGCCGGTGCGACTAACGGAAGAAGTCCAATTTTACTTGGCAATGAGCGACTTTTCACAGATGAAATAATGTCTTCGCATGTTCGCTGAAGAACAATGCGTCAAATTGTAGCGTTCAAGGAAATTGAGAAAGCTGGCCTTCAGTAGACGTACGTGCGAAAAAAGTGTGGACCACTACTCAACTTGGCTTCTGAAAGTGCGTGAGCATCCGTAGTGACTGTTAATGGCCTCCCAGACGGCAGAAAGATACAAATTAAAGAACGGACAGATCACATTACCCTAGGAAAACTGATAGTTGGAAACGAGAAGACGTCGTTTCTGCAAGATTTGCCGGGCTCGTGTGATCCATGGGTGGAACAAGGCAAACCTCTTGCCCTCCTAGAGTCGAACTTGTCATAATTTCATGTCCAATCAATGTCATCATACTAATACGTTTGAATGATGAAACAGTCCAACGTAATGCTGACTCTTGATGAGGAACATTAACAACAATAAAAAGCAGCGAGCATCAGTAGCACGGTGTTTGGACAGGCATACACGTTATTCGCGACTTTCGACGGATGACGGATGAGGACTTGCGTGGCTTACAGAATCAATGTATGAGATACAGTACTACTCACGATACGGCACCTTTCTGATGGCACTCCAGATACTTCGCCCAGCGACATCCAAGGAGCCCAAACAGCCTACGAAGTCGCCCCGTCGTTCTTCCTCTCAAGCATGTCCCACACTTCAGGCGAAACCTCGATCGCCTTCATCTTCTTTGGAACATTCTGTCCGGCCAATTTCCTCCTCCCGATCACGATTTGATCTCCCTTCTTATTGCCCAGGATGTCGTTCAGAGTTGTGCGAGACGCAAGCTGCAGATGTTCCGTACCATCAACGAGAAACAGCACAAGGGACACCCTCTCGGCTTCATCGGATGCCACAAGAACTACATTCATCTTGTCCAGTGTTATTCCCGGAAAGTCAGCCTTCGTGCCTGACGGCATGGCTACTTTGCCGAGTTGCCGAAAGCTTGCCTTGTGTCCTGCATAGCGACTGCCTTGCACGAGAAAGGCTCTCATGGATTCCGGATATTCCTTGTTCAACCCAGGTGCTGCAACCAGAAGCTGCCCTCTGTACACTTCGGTCACGATCTGCCCGTCGAGTGGTTTGTTTTTCGAGCCCGTCTTCTGGTCCGGATCGGATACAAGCTGGAAGAAACTACTTCCAACTTGTGCCGGATCCTTGGGCGGGTGCAGGGGCATGTCGAGGAGCTTTTTCGTATTGGTGCTCCAGAACAGACCCGGCTTCTTAGCGGGTGTGGTGGATCGACGACCTTCGGAGTCCGGCGGCGTTGCCATGCGTCTGTTCCGTGCTCTGTGCGTGGTCGAACGGGTAGGAGGCTTGTGCTGCTCTTCGTCACTCTCTTCCTCGTCCTCACTGCTTTCCTCTTGGCTCTCTCGATTACTCTTTGGGGACGTCCTCCTCCTCGGGCTGCCCTCCGACCTCGTCTTCTCGCTGCTTCGAAGGACGTACTTGTCAGTGCTTTGAAGCTCCTTCAAGTAGAGCGTGTCGTTGAGCCACGATAGACTGACGATAAGAGCACCGTTGTCACGCGCATACAAGATGTCTTTCTGAAGGGTGTCGAATTGGCGTTGCGATGCACAGAGGTGGGTGGTCTTCCTTGTAACGCTCGTCTGATAACGCCCCCCCAAGGCGCGGATCTCCTTTTTCAACTGCTCCACGTTTTGGTCTTTAAGAGTGTCAATCACACAGATGTACATGTTTTCAAGGGCTCGGCCCTTTTCTTTCTTCTTATGCCGCTCATTTTTTCTCAGATCGTCCTCGGCTTGGTCGCTGGAGCCGTCGCCGGAGCCGTCGCCAGAGCCGTCGCCAGAGTCGTCGCCAGAGTTGTCGCCAGAGTCGTCGCCAGAGTCGTCGCCAGAGTCGTCGCCAGAGTCGTCGCTAGAGTCGTTGCCGGACTCACTGACGGCATCGTCGCCGGTTTGACTGTCGGAGATGTCCTCTTTGTTCTCGGCCTGCTGCTCGAGAAGGTACGGTGTGGTGTTGACCTTCGACCCGGACTTTGAGCACTTCTCCAGCCATTTCACATCGACGATTTTACAGCCGTCCTGCTTTTTGGCCTTCTTAACAAGGTCGGAGGGCTTATTGTACGACTCCCGGGTGGCTATGAGGTGCGTAATTTGCTTGGAGAAGGATTTCTTGTAGGTGCCTCCAAGCGTCTTGATATCCTTCTCGATCTGCTGGTGTGTTCGATTGAACTTGCCACAGACGGTGATAACGCAACCGGAGAGCGGCTTAGATGAATCGCCGTCCGTCTCACGTTTCTGCTTAGGGGCCATATCGATTGTCTGTAGTGAATGGAACCAGAGGGGGCAAGTTGTGTCTGACAATGTTATGATGAGAGTAAACCTGGATGGAGCTGCGTGGGTTTATAGGTCGATTGCGTTGCCTCGCAGCGAGCCCAGAAAAAGCAAACGAATTGCCGAAAGCAACAGGCTAGTGCGAGTCAAAAGTCACAACCGACATCTAGGGGATTTATTTTCAGTTCCGCCGAACGAATGTCAGAGGCGGCGATGAAAGAGAGCAAACGGAACCGGATCAAGATCGAATGGAAGACGTGGGGCGTTGAATCTATTGCGACAAAAAGCTAGGTTCCCATCTGGGCTGGAGGGCTTCGCCAGAGCAACCCATCCATACCGCAAGACACTCTGCTGGACACACATACTGTACTGTACAATACACACAGACATCGCGAAAGTAGTGTCCGGTCATATGTTGAGCACAAGGCGCGTGGCGACGCGTGGAGACGCGTGCGGCAAGGCTCGTGGCTACGATTCAGCATTGAAGAACTCTATTCCGGGGGTCTTCATGTAGCCGTTTTCTCGTCACTCCCCTCTACGCCGCGTTTCTCTTGCGGGCGAAAAACCCAGCTGAGGCACGCCTTCCGCCGGCCTGACCCGCAACGACGGCATCAATCGGTCGATGCGACCTCGGCTGATACTCGGACTCAACAAACTCGATGAACGTGCGGCCGCCCATGGCCGCAATGACACCAGCACGCATGCGCATGGTAAAATCTGGGTCTCCGCAATCTGAACCATATCAACAGGATTAGTCTCTGAAGCACCCAGCAGGCACGACGGCAGGGCAGAACGGTCACGTACTGATGACAATCATTTCGCCTCGCGTCCGTGTACTCTTCTCTCGAATTCTGTTCGTCATCATCTCCATGACGTCTGCCCCGCCCGGCGCGGCAGAGGTGCACTTCCAGTGATCAGAAGGCTGGAACGGTCGGGGCCTGGAGGTGCGGGGGCCGGGATACAGACACCAGACCACAAGTAATCTCTGGAACGAGGCGGCGTCAGTACGACAATTGAAAGTAGCACCGCATCTTCACGTCATAGCAGCCACCCACGGGAAGAAGGACAGGCAGACTTACGTTGTTTGGGTCTAGACGCTGCAATGCAGAAAAGAAGCCGGCTGTCCATCTTTCCTGCTTCTCGTTCTCCAGCATCCACAACAGGTCGACTCGTTGCGTTTTGTCTTGGAAGAGCACACGCGACAGAGATGTTCGCTCCTTGCGAACCGCGTCCAGTCGACGTTGGAAGCTTTGTCGGTGCTCCCCCGCCGCGCTCGACGCGCTCAACACGAGCTCGGTCTCTTCCTGCTGCAGGCGCTGGATGTCTTTCTTGACTTCGCTATCGCTCTTCCGTCGCTCAGCGAGCTGCAGCGCATAAGGCAGCACTCCGGAAATGCCCGCGCCTTTAGCCACCAGCATGACGTCCTCGTACTGGCGAAAGTCCGACTTCTGTCCGTAAGGACCGTCCAGCTTCAGCGCAGCGCCTTCCACCAGTCTCTCGAGCTGGCTCGCGAGTGTGCCATCGCGCCCCATGAGGAACGAGATGGTGCGGACCCCATCCGGCGAGGCCAGATCGCCGGGCTTAAACCACAAGGGCTTCATCGCGTGGCCGTGGACGCCCGGCACGAGCGAGCGGGGGAAAGAGGCCGGAAAGTAGATGTTGAAATGATCGTCAGCCGAGGCCCGGATGGGCGCGTCCGCGTGCACGGTCACGAGGGCGACGTCGTCATCGAGTTCCAGTCGGAGCACGCGGACTGTGACCTGTCGATACCACCAGACGGCGCGAACGCAAGCCGCAGCAATCCAGCAAGAACATCCCACCGTAATGAGCGCACGGCTTGCGAGCGCGGGCAGAAGATAAGCATGCCACACCAGACCGGCCAATGCCGAGATTGCCAGGACGAGGTGGGTGACGAAGAAATAGCGGCCAAGACGCCGACGTGTTACACTCACAGACAACGGCAGAATGAGCATCAGCGTGCTGAGTCCCTGGCAAGATCTTAGTCTCTACTCTGTACAGCGCCTTTGGGCGAGTGATAAGTGCCACTTACGATGTATCCCGACGTGACAACGGCACCAGGCCTCGGCCGCAGAGCGAGGACCACGAAAGCGTGGAGCAACGCTTGAGCGATGGCGACCCTGCCGATCCAGTGATGGACGAGGTTGACGGTACCGAGAGGTACGTTGCACAGGGAGGTGAGGACGTTCGTTCGAATGACGATGGAGAGGGGGACCAGATTAACAAATGCAGCCACGCCCGCTCGTCTCTCCACCTCTCTCAGCGTGGGCAGGGCACTGAAGGGGTACAGCAGAAGGGCGATGTTTACGCCAGCGTACGAGAGGACGGCCAGAGCCTCCCATCGGGTGGCGCCCGTCCAGTGCTGCCGGCGGACGAGCAATGGATAGGCCAGATGCTGGGCGTAAAGCACGTGTACGTAGGAAAAGGCCTGCCGCAGAGGGCGGGCTACGAGGCGTGCAACTATGAGGGTATAGAAAGAGAGCATGTAGTAGTGCAAAGCCTCCATTGTCGCAGTCGGCAGTGTTGTAGGGGCGAGGAGCGGAAGTGGCAAAGGGCACAATGGCAGATGGGCAGATAGAGGACCGCCTGAATGATGCCTGGTCGCCGCCCGGGCATGATCCAGGTTTAAGGGGCTACATCAGATCCTATGGGGCGCTTGATGCATGCTGGGTGTGCTGCTGGGTGGGAGAGATGCCAAAGTTGACAACGCAATTGAAGCGACGCCAGGGCCCGTGACAGCACGGATCAAACCCACACTTGGTGTCAAGATGAGCTCCAAGACGGCGCACCCAGGCGCCCTCTGTGACATGGCGCGTACGCCGTTCCGATGGATAAGCGCCGATCGCAAGCGCCGGCCGTTACCTACAATCTCGAAAATGGCATCAAGATTGGAGGCTACCAGCGCCTGCTCAAAATAAACAGGCGGCAACGACGGGCGGTGGCCTGGACGTCTGCCTGACCAGTCCCGTGCGCCGGTCCCCCATGCGAAACGCCGTGTTGCCGCGCCCGTAGCCCCACTCGCCTGTTTCGGAGGACCTGCTTCGGCGGCTGGATGTGAGATTGCAAAAGACGGAGGCCGGACCTGAACACCAACCGGACCGTGCGACGGCATTGCTTTCTAGACGCCGGGCCTATACAGTCGCCCCAAGTCGAGGAGGCTCCACGAAAATAGAACCACACAGCGCAAGCCCCCGGAACACCCGCAATGCTGCTGATGGGATTACCGCAGGCGACATAAATTCAACGACCCTCCCTCGTTCCCTTCGTCCCTGTGTCACAAGGCAAAAAGCCAAAGGCGAAAGTTCAAAGGAACGAAAACGCAGAAGCGGCTCGCAGCGATCAGGGTTCTTTCAAGCCAGGTTCTGTTATTGATTGTCCACCACTAAGCGTCACCCTGGTAGATTGTCTCCGCACGAGGCCAGTTCTTCCACCATGACGCGCGGGAAGAGCAACAAAGACTTTCGCAAAGGGTTCGAAAACCGAAAGACCGGCATCTTCAAGAAGTCGGACACGTTCTACCGCTACTACAAAGCCAGAGTGGCGGTGCTGGTCATCGGCCACGATGGCCACCTCGAGGCCTACGAGTCTCAGCATGGTCTGATCCGAAGCTTGACGGCGTCTCCTATCCCACAAGAGACCATCTTGGGGCCCGACAACTTTGAGACGGTCGCAGCCAGGCACGCCATAACGCCAGCACCTAGCAGCCCGCCTGCGGCGGCCGCTTCGGCCGACTTGACAGGTTCGACTGACGCGGGCGACGCAGCCAACGCGGCTGACTTGGTCGTCAATGCAGTCGGATCTCCCCCGTCGTCCTACTTTACCTGTCTCTCGGGCAGCTCGAGCGACGGCGCGGAGTCCTATTCGAGCCTGGACGGAGAGCTGTCGGTGTCGCCTCAGGCGCCACTGGCCACCATGTCGGCAAGCAGCTCGTCGTCCAGTGGCCCCTTGTCGAGTGGTAGCAGCGGGAAGGACACAGATGAGACTGCTCCCATGTTCAACGAATATGACTTCGTCAACATGGGAGACACAGTGTTCCCATCTATGTTTCTGGAAGGCGACATGCCAGGCACGACACTTCAGCAGCAGACTGAGATCTTCCCTGCCATGGGCATGTCTTACGCTAAAGCCGCCGAGACGGCAGCACACGGGACCGAGTCATCACGTCGGAAACAAGCCCTGCTTTCGTTGGCGAACCGCTGTTTCCAGGTGTAAACCTCTCTTGGGCAGGCATGGCATTGGTTGTATCTGTATTCATTGGTTGTATCTGTAGGGGAGGTCACTTGACCATGGAAGGAGGTCTTGGAGGTATTGAGTTCCATAGCGCATGGATGCGGACCGTGTACACTATTCTTCCCAATACCGTCTGCTTTGTCAATATTCCATCACTCTTCCGTAGTTGTATAAAACATCAAGATGGTAACACCGTTTGTTGGCTGGCTCAAGTGATGACGATCCCGGCTCGCTGACTGCCGCGCCTCAGTGCAAGAACAGGATACTGGTCGCGCGACTGCTGTTTGTCAAGGTCTAATGTTTGCTTTCGACATTGTGCCACCTTGTACGGCGTCTGAGTCCGATTCAGAGCTGTAGGTGGCCTGACGTGAAGACGTGCGTAACTTGAATGTCATTGACAGGAACAGGCGCATGCCCGGGATTTGAGAATGGACCTTTCTAAAATGAATCGTCAAAGCCCAAAGTCCCCATGTAAGATCAGACAGACAGTGTACCCACACCTGCATCACAGCAGACGAGTACAAGAGATAAGACACGGCTCACTTCAGACGCAATTGGCTCACGTTCGGACGCGATTGACACAACCACACCGCGTGCAGCACTACATAACAGATGCTCACCATGATGAAGAACTTTAGCGTTGCTATCAACTGCCCCTTGCCGGCTGAGATATCGATCAAGGATGTCAAGCGGGGCATCCAAAGGCTCGGCGGGACGTTCCATGAACGGGTCCTCTCAACCACCGACGTGTTGTGCACTTCTGAGGATCGCGACCGAGATTCACAACAGACTCGCCTCCAGGTGGGACGGCAAGGCGGTGTCACTGTCTCTTTAGACTGGCTTCAAGATTCATTCACAGCTGGCCGCTTTCTGGACCCCCTTGAATATCCCATCTCTCAAGAAACATGGGCCCTTCGCGGGGAGGATGAGGAAAACAGTGAGAAAGAAATTGAGGAAGGGAGCGAGGAAGAGAGCGAGGAAGAGAGTGAGACACGGCGTGTGGAGTCCAGTGGCAATATCGCCGTCTTAATTGGACTTTTCCACTTCCTTTTGATGAAGGCGGTCGAGAGAGAAACGGAGAGCGAGAGTGACGCACAGCGCATGGAATTCATTGATCATATCAATGCTATATTTCGTTACTTAGTAGCTACCTTGTCGACAGCGGTTGGGGAAAACATGGAAGGCGAGAGTGAGGCAGATGACGAAGAGAGTGATGAGAGTGAGGAGAGTGAGGAAGACAGCGAGGAAAGTGAGGAAGAAACCACCCTGGCTCGATTCGACCCCGGAAGGCCTTTGTATACCTGCGGCATTGTCGTAGCCGACAAATCCCCTTATATGACCCAGGCGCAGCTTGAGAAAGAAGTCGGTCATCTTGGAGGGGTATTATTATTTAGTATCTCGAAGGATACTACTCACTTTGTGTCCTCGCGAGCGATATACAACAAGCTTCCGCAAGCTGCCGTCTCGTTCTTCCCCAAAGTCTCCTTCGTCAACCATGATTGGCTAGACGCCTGCTCGCAACAGGGCTCTCTAGTACATGTTGGTCCGTACATACACGACAGGCTGGACGAAGAAGAGAGCGAAGAAAGTGAAGAAGAGGACCGGGAGGAGGACGAAGACAAAAGCGAAGAGAGTGAAGAAGAGGACCGAGAGGAGGACGAAGACGAAAGCGAAGAGAGTGAAGAGGAGGACGAGAACGAGAGCGAAGAGGAAGACAACCCGAGTTATGATCCTAGAGAAAGGCGTAGCTGATAGCGTACTCTTCGATTAGCTCATGAGATGAAGGATACCTTCGATTGTTGCTTGTATCCGTGCGAACGTCGACGTGAAAGTGCTCCAGCATGAAGCGACCCCAGCATACTGACCTCATGTGTGATATCCGGGCCGGAGCCAAGACCGGCATGGCTGGTGATGAAGTAAAGATGCTTTGGCTTCCATCCATGAAGAATACGGTGAGCCTGGGCGCATGCAGCGCCACACAGTCCGTCGGAAATTGTCGTTTCCCTTGATCACCTTGATGAGCAAGGACTGCGTGAAAGCAGGCCAGCAGTGACAACTGCAGCGTATCGATTGCAATGTCTCTCCTTTCGAGATATTTTCGCCTTTCGGCCAGGATTCTAGGCCAACATCAATGTCTTGTCGATCGTGCTTACGGGGGTGTCGGGCTCGACGCGAGCTGCTTCACAACTATCGAGTACGGTGTTTGAACTCGCCTCGAGGCCTTGACTGATGTCCGTGGCCGTCATGGCTTCTTTCCGCAGCAGCGACATACTCAGTACCCTCACTTGACGTGCCTGGTTCGTATCCCCATTCTTGCCCTCGAAGAGTTCTTCGCCGATTCAAGGGCATTTTCCAAGCCTCAATTGCAGGAGAATGTTCACGCTCCCGCTTTAGCACGGCACTTTTGGCCCTACTGGCCTTCCGCTTCTATGCCAAGTACCTGCGGAAGCACGTCGACAGACCACTGGGGCTTGCCGAAAGCCTAAGCGGCCGGCGCGATATCCTGCAAAGAGTCAATGGAAGACCTCATTTATTGAGGAGAGTTACTACCGATGTGACTATGGTCCCAGGCTGGATGATGCTTTCTGCACCGATGCGCACACCGGCGCAGATGAGCACCCCGGCACAGATGAGTACTCCGGCACAGATGAGTACTCCGGCTCCGATATCGCAGGGCGATTCGATCGTGACAGACCTGCTCCTAACTAACCTGTGAGCACCTAGACATCTGTCGTACTGTCCAGGGTCATCTTTTGTGATGATTTGGAGGCCACGTGCAATGATGGAATTCGCCCCGATCGTGACTCGTGCGCACTCAGAGTAGCATCGCTGTCCGATTGTGACATTCTCTCCAAGCGTGATGTGATGTCCGTAGCTGCAATGGCACGGGGCCTCGGCTGTGAAGCATGGGGAGTCATGGCAAGCATCTCCGTTTGTTGCGTTCGAGTCCCCCTCCGACGACTAACAAATAATCTGGTCAAACAGAAATTAATGTATTCGTTGCGCCATCGTGCTAGGTACTACGCCGGAAACGCACTCCATAGCGGCAGTGAAGTCCCAGCAGGCGAGCGTGCAGCGGAGGCGGTCGTCAACCAGCTTCTGCTCTTCTTCGTCGTAGACATATTCCCCTGCGTAAGGAAGAGACGCTGTAGGAAGCGAAGATTCAGGACCGATCCAGTTTCCAGTTATGTCTTCAATACTCATCTCCCGTAGGTCCCTTTCGCTTGGCCAGGAATCCGGATAGGTCAGTGGTAGTTGGATAGTGCTTGATTGAAAGACATCAGCGTGTCTCCTCGCATTCTGGATGGGAGAGATGTCCTGTATGTGAAGGCGGATCGGAATGCCATGTCAGGCACGGTCTGTGCACTTTCAGACGCTGTTGAGACGCTTTGGTCTTCTTTGCCTGCCTCTTTCTTCTTTGTCCCCCTGGTCGGGGAATTTTCTCGAGCCGGACTGGGTTGCGAGCCACTCTTGTGATTCATCGTCGTAAAGCTGGGTTGATCAAACCGGACGCGGGAAAGCTTGGCAGGTCAGGCGGCATGACGAAATCACAGAGGTTGGTTGGCGAGGGTATGAAGTAGAAAAAGAAGTTCTATTCGGAAGCTGGTGTGTGCTGGGCGCAGCCGCCTTTTATAGAGAGACGTTCGTGATATGCTCTTAAGCTGACCTGACGCGCCAGCACTCTTGGTTGCATGCGAATCCGCTCGCCCCTGTTTCGAGGACTAGACCTTCAGTAAGATCACACACAGCAGTGGCTGGCACCAACAGAGGCGCATGACGCTCGCTCAAGTTGACCATAGGCCTCTATCATCCTGATGTTTCTTTTTCTCTTGTCTTTTCCCTTGTTTTCGGCTGTGATATCCCTATACTCAGCCATCCTCAGCTCGCTCCGTCTCTACGTCCTGTCTTCCCGGCTTTGCCTCCGTTTTGCCCTCTCCGCGTCTACTTCGCGAGTCAATATATTCATCACCAGGACAGTGGCAGGACATCAAGGTCCTCTTCTACCCTTCTTCCCTGCCTCAGGCATTCCACAAGCCACTGGTGGTTGACGAGATGGAAGGCCTTGTCCTCGTCGCTTTTCGCCCGATGGAGGACATTTCTCACGTAACTGCCTTGATGACGAATCTCCTCCTCGGTCGCGCAAAGGTGTGTCAGGGTGTGGATAGGCTCGCTGCCCTGATCGCAGATCCCCCCCAGATTGACGATATGCTCTTCGACAAGCTTGAAACCAGGAACGCCACGAGATCGCGGATAGCTGGATGTGAAAGCGATCACGCACCCCCGCAACGGAGCGGCGTGTGCACACAATGCAGCAAGGTCGTAGTCGCAACTATTCACGAACCTGCCCTCGGCGTAAGAATCCTGTAGCCAGCCCAGAGTGACAAGAACGATGTTCCTCGACCTTGCCATTCTGACATCGTGGCTCGAGGAATAGTACTGGCTCGGCTCGATGCAAACGTGCGTCGTTGTCGAGCCGACATGCTTTTGACAGGTCCCGCCGAGCGACTGAATCCAAAGCTTCGTGAGTTCCATGCTCACCTGTTGCGGAAGTGGACAGGCAATCACGACCTTGACCAGAGCTGTGAAGCATTCGCCTGTCGCCTCGTGGACGAGAAGCGGAAGTGGGGCACTCATGACGCGTGAACGGCCCTGCTCTGCGCTACGAATGTCTGTGTGTGCTTCTGACCGGCAGCCGACTGCAAGACACGTACCGTCCGCGCCTCACCACATACCTTAAGGAGCGCGAAAAAAAATGCCTGACAGTACAAGCCTAACTTTGGCAAGCAAATTGCGAACAACGCTGTCCAACGCGCGTCCGATCTGAACCTGAATCAGACAGCACATGGTCTGTGCGCTCACTGTCGTTGCCCGTCGGCCAATGCCTGCTTTTGCCCGCTCGGCGGACCGGGTCTAATCGGGCCGGGTCTAATCGCTTAAGTCGCCTTTGGCTTTTCACCATTCGTTTAAGCGCGCGCAAGCCACTAAATCCATCTCAGAAGATCACGACTGGCTTCCTGCTCGTCATTTAGCGGCCATGGTCGAAATACACTTCTGCGTGATGGGTGTGCGGCGAATAGAAGGGCTAAAAGAATGTATGTTTCTGTACATGTACAGCGTATGTCTATAAGGTGAGGGTTGGTCGCGAATGCGCGTCAAAGATGGCCCGACTGCCAGCCTGCCAGCTGAAAGACTGCCCGACTGTATTCAAAGAGACAGGTGACCGAGGAACAGCAGCGGACAGACAGACTCGAAGATTGAAATCATTTATTATTTCGTTGAAGTACGGCAGCAGATTGATCGTAGGTAGGTTAGTCTTGACGTGGGACGGCGCGACGCGAACTAGTGGATCCCACTCCACGTGGCGCCCCACCTGCAGCCATGGCGATCGAACGCGACACGATCCGTATCGCGTCGGATGAAGAAGAGAGGGATAGTATTAAGAGACGACAACTTCGACCGAAGCGCAAGCCGAGCAACAAAGCCATCGACAATCGAGCCATCGATAACGAAGCCATCGATAATCAAGCAACCGACGATGCGACCGACGATACGGAAGTTACGAAGCGAAGTAAGGGGCGCAGTACTAAATCGACGGTACGACGACCAACCCCCGGGACCAGTGGAGGGCAGCTGGACGGAAGGACTTTGCTACGCGCTATGGAAAAACAGATGGAACTACAGACGAAGATCATAAGAAAGGTCCTAGAAGAGTCCCAGTCTCAGTCGAGAAGAATTAAGGAGCTCCAGAACGAAGTAGAGGAGCTTAGGAAAGCCCTCCATACGACCACGAACGAAGCCCAGAGCCTACGTACGAGCATCGAAGCAAACACTACGACAATCGCTAGGCAGGATAGGTCGGAGCCATCCTACGCAGACATCGCCCAGATACCACCAGCCGGCCAACTCAGCAATACGAGGCAGGCTACCACAACAACTCCAACGGACACGCACTTCTACACAATCGACACATCAAGGATCGAGGGTAAACAAGATAAATAACTCACACCGGGCGCTATTCGTACCCTCACGGAAGGCGAGGTTAGGATAGACCAAAGCTAACCTAATTAGCGTTGCCTGGCCGTGACCAAAGATCCGAAAACGCCTCGAATCAGGATTGCCTATAGAAACGAGCAGGAACACACTATAGTGAAACGGTTAGTAGAAGCTAAGCTGCCTAGAGGAGCTCGGATGCTACGAGACGAACTCTATCCTATTAAAATAGACTACGTAAGCCGAACGGCGGTCTTAGATAAGGCGAACCACATCCGTAGTAGAGCAGCTAAGGAGATTAGCAAAGAAAACGACGTTCAAGTTACGAAAGTTAGCTAGCTAAGCAATAGAGACGTTACGAAGGCCTACGGATTAATAATTATTTACCTCACGAGGAGAAGGGACGCGGAGAGACTAATCGCAGAAGGTTACGCTTATACAGGAGGATAATCTAGGAGGGCCAAGGTCTTTAAACCTCGTCCTCGTCTCGACTAGTGCTACAACTATCAACAGTTTGGTTTCGGCCACAAAGCTCACTAGTACGACCGACCCCAGGCATGCGGGAAATGCGCCAAGGAGGGTCACCATCACAGTACTTACACTAAGACCATCCTTAAATATATTCCCTACGGAGGTCCTCATACATCGTTCAGCAGAAATTACAAGAAGCTATACCCGTCTTTAAATAAGTAGTACGCTCCGAATAATCTAACTCAATATGCGAAAACGCGGCGAGGTTCACGAGAGCCTCATAAACGATGAGGACATTCAGGACGCTATAGTGCTAGTCATTCAGGAACCACAGGCACGGATAATTAAGGGACGGTTATTAACGACTCCGATAGGACATCATAGATAGACAAAGATAGTCCCACCAACGACTAGGGAAGGACGATAGGCGATCCGAAGCATACTTTAGATAAAGAAGGATTTAGAAGCGGAACAGGTACTAACAGAGTCTCCGGACATGACAGCAGCACTGTTGCAGCTCCTAGAGAGACTGGTACTAGTGGTGTCCGTGTACGTGCAGGGGATAGACACCCAGGCATTACAGGAAGCGTGCAACACCATACATAGTGTGGTCGCGGACGCTAGGAGAGCCGCAGGGAAGGTAGTGGACGTGGTCATTGCAGGCGACTTCAATCGCCACGATCAACTATAAGGAGGAGACGACGTATCTCCAGTACGACAGGGTGAAGCTGATAATATCATCGACCTAATGAACGAGCTCTCCCTCTACAGCATGCTCCTACGGGGCACGAAGACATAGCAAGGCGGGGACCACGAATCGACAATCGACCTTATGCTATTGTCAGAGGACCTAGCTACGTCCATGATCAAGTGTACGACGCACAGGACAGAACACGGGTCGGACTACTGCACCATCGAAACGATCTTTAACGTATCAGTTCCGACCCCGAAAGCCTAGAACCGACCTCTATTCAAGAACGCGCCATAGAAGGAAATCAACACCCGAATCTCCACAGCACTCGAGATAGTCCCGATAGAGGGCACGGTTCAAGAGAAGACGGACAGACTTATATTAATAGTACTAGAAACAGTACAGACCTTGACACCGAAAGCCAAACCATCGCTATACGCGAAGCGCTAGTGGACGGCGGATCTTACGCAGCTCCGCTACATCCACACACATTGGAGAAACCGGGCGAGGGCAGTGAGACGGGCAGGGCGGAGCGATAAAGCACTAGAGAACACGGCCAAGGGAGCAGCGAAGCAATACCACGATAGCATTCGACAACAGAAGAAAACTCATTAGAACGACTTTCTAGCCGATAACGACAACATCTAGAAGGCCGCCAAGTATCTCAAGTCGGGTGACGACGCAGCAAGGCTAATAGCACGCGGACGACCAACGGTAAAGAGCAAGCGGAAGAACTACTTACTACCTTCTTTCCGCCCCTACTAGAGCACATCGAAGAGGAATACGAGAGGCCGTAGCGCGAATCGGCTATCAATATGCCAGACATCACGATAGAAGAAGTCGAGCGCCAGCTTTTCGCGACGAAATCGTAGAAAGCACCCAGTGAGGACGGGTTGCTAGCGATAGTCTGGAAACAGATTTAGCTAGCCGTCAAGCACAGGGTCCTAGCGATTTTTCGCGCATCACTAGAGGAAGGAGTACTCCCCGACCAATAGAGGCATACTAAGATTATCCCGCTCAAGAAGCCGGGCAAAGGTAACTACACTATCGC